GCAAATTGCTATTTCTCAAGCGTCATCTCCATCCTCATCTATACAACTTTGTGATAGCTGTGAAACTATTACCAAGGTTGTTAGAAATTTAAATCTTAGAAAGCATTCATTAGAAGAAAAACTACAAATCCTTAAAGATGAAACCTTTTCATCCTAACAAACCATTAGTAAATACCAAATGAAATTCTTAAGTTACAAGATGGTTTAAAAGGACTAAGTTCTAAAGATACCGTAGAAAGATCTAAAGATATTGCTTCTACAAGTAGAAATTATTTTGATAAGATAAAGATACTTATTGAATTGAATTAACAGACTCTACAGTTGCGGGACAACAAAAGACTTTATATGATTTTGAATAAAAAACCGGCAATTGTGCCAGTATTGTTCGGAATTCTATAAAGAAGTCAATCGTACAGGAGATCATCGATTTTTCTCAAATTCTAAGCTACTATCACAATGAAACTCGATATTTTCTTAAACATAGCCCCTAAATATGAATCATCTACTAAAAATTCAGCTTTTTTTTTGACACAATTATCCTACAAATTCTTTGACTATACAATCTTTGAAGAACTTTTTTATCCAGCCTTACAATTTGGCATGATAGACACTATTTATGTTTTAATCAAATCTTTCAGATTTTTTCCACCTTAACTTAAACAGATTCTTAGTCAGTGAAAAGGTCGCCCATTTATGATCCAATTCATTTCCAAACCACCTCTTGTAAATAATGATATAGTAATTCCAGCTTATCATCATATTGTAATATATGAAGGACCTAAAAGTTTTAGACCTTCCTCAAAGACAAATACTACAATAAAAATTAGACATATTAATTACAAAAGATGGATCTCAGAAACCGCAGCAATGATAGAAATCCAAAATAATGATTCCAAACTTGTAGCACAATGGAGTTATTTACTGTCAAGAGCATCTTGCCATAAGAATTAAAACAGAAAATTCCAGTACCAAATATTCAGCAAAAAGAGCTATATTTGATGGCTATGAATTATCAGAAGGACAATAGGATACAGCGGAAGAAGAATATATATCTATTGGCAAAACCAATGAAATGGATGCAGACCTAGAAGAAATCTACATAGAAATGATGGACAGATAAGCACAATAATTAAAAAAGAAGAGAAGATGTAAAGAAAAAGCAAAAGACTAATGAATAATACCCAAAGGACAATTATCGATAAAGAAAGTAAAAAAAGGAGGAAGCTTGAAGAAAAAAATTCAAAAGAATCTTTATTTTCATATAGCTGTAAAGATATATAGTAAAATCATATTTCACAGTGTTACAGCTGTATGATTTATATTATACATCTTTACAACTATATTCACCACCTCTTGAACTACTCTTCTTCTTTACAAATCCGCATCAATTAGCAAATTCTTCATTTTTTACCTCAATTCCTCCAGCAATGCATCCAAATGCCTTGTATCACCACCGTTTACCACTTTCTTCCTACTTACTTCCCCAGCTCAGCCACTAGTGGGGCCGCCACACTCGCTTGAACACTTTCCAACTCCTCAACCAGCACCTCTTCTTCCATTTCTACATCATGCCTCAACCTTCGAATTCTCTAAGATTGATCCTCAATAACATTCATAGATCTCATCACCAAAGAAAATGCCAAATGGGTTTGAATCCTGCACTCTAAAACAAGTTTCTTTCTAATGCAGTGAACTAAGGTGGTGAAAACACTAGAAATACATCTTTACAGATATATGAAAATAAAGATTCTTTTGAAATTTTTGACTTCAAGCTTCCACCTTTTTTACTTTATTAGCCGATAATTGTCCTTTGGGTACTATTCATCTGTCATTTGCTTTTCCTTTACGTCTTTTCTTCTTTTTAAATTATTGTACTTATCTGCCCATCATTTTTATGCAAACTTCTTTTAGATCTACATCCATTCATTGATTTTGTCATCGGGTATGTATTCTTCCTCTGTATTTTATTGTCCTGATAATTCATCATTTCTTTCTTGGAAAGCCATCAGATATAGTTTTTTTTTTGCTAAATATTTGGTACTGAAATTTTTTCCTCCACATATAACACCACTTCGTAACATAAAAATCCATTATTCGGAGGTTATCCAAAGTTAACACACGTCTCTTCATAACCGTCCATATAGTAAAAATGCCACCCGAAGGAGTAGTTTACATTGCCATATCATCTTTTAGGGGAATGAGCTCTCCACGGGTCCCAATAAGACCTAAAATAAGTACCAAGAAAATACCATCCCATACCAACCTCCACATGCTACAATCACCCTCTCCTACCCTGATGTGCTCCTCATACAAAGAGGTCACAAGCATCGCATAATTATCCAACTCTCAGTCCTACAAACCCCTACTAAAAGCAATGTTCTAGCTGAGATTCCCATTATGTATATGTAAAATCTCATTCACCATAGCATATGGCATTAAAGCAATACGATATAGAGAAGGAAACCCCACTCTTAACGGTCGATTTTCACATCAACAATCTTCCCAAAATTTAATAGTATTGTCATTCCCCACCACAAACGTCAATCTATCCCGAAAGTCTCTCCACCCTTGTCGGATATACCTCCACAAACTCACCCCATAAGAACCCCGAACCTCAACTGAGCACCATCCCTCCTCCATGACACCATATTTCGCCTCTATAATTTCTCTCCAAAAGCTATCCTTCTCCACGCCGAATCGCCACAACCACTTACCCAACAAGACCTTATTAAACAATATCAGACTCCTCAATCCGAGGTCTCTCGTCCTTACGAGAGAACAAACCGTATCTCAATTAACCAAGTGAAGTTTCCTCTCCTCCCCTAACCCTTCCCATAAAAACTCCCTTTGAATCATCTCTAATCTTTTTGCCACTGAAACGGGAATAGGAAACAATGACAAAAAATAAGTAGGAAGATTCGATAGGGTAGACCTAATAACGGTAAGACCGCCTCCCTTCGAGAGGTACGTACGTTTCCAACTCGCTAGCCTCCTCTGCCAAAATATTATTTTTCTCGTATGTGTTCTATACTTATTTTATAAATGTTCAATATCTCATATAATTTTAACATCTTTTTTTCTATCTCATTTTGTCAAAGTTTTCTTTTTAAGCCCGTTTGGTTCCCATTTTTCCTCATTAAAATGAAAAATATAACCGTTATCCATCACATCAAACCACCAAATTTGAATTTTTATTTCTTGTGTATGACCTGTAACGGCTATATTTTTCATTCTCATTTTTCCAAAAATGAGAAACAAACGGGAGCTAATAAATTTTACTATAGCTTTACAATTTGTTCTAATTGTAAATTCGGTATTTAAAAATAATTTAAAGTTTTCCATGCTATGTATGATGGCCATTATTTTATAATTTAAGCTAGTTAAGTATTTTTCTTTTATTTTATATTTTTCACTGGCTATCTACAAATCTTTTCTTCCTTTTTATCACTATATTTATTTGGTTTAGAATATAAAATAACTTCCTATCCTAGTTCACATCTATCTACTTCTATTATTTTTTATTCACCATCTAAAGGTAATTCTAATGGTGGTAAATTTTTAACTTCTTTTATCTGTTTAACTATTTCTATATCTGATTAAAATATTTGTCATTTGCTAGGTAACTTACTATACAAAGATCCTACTTTCTTTCCTAAATCTTTAATAAAATGTGTAGCATAATTCAAAATCCTAAAAGGGCTTGTAATTTCTTAGTGTCTTCAACTAGAAATTGTAGAATTGTCTGTACTATATACGGTTGCAGCTGAATTTTTCTTTCTCCTAGAATTATGCCTAAAAACACAACTTTTTGTTTATTTATTTTCATTTTCTTTTTTACTTATAATTAAACCATTTTCTATGAACTTATTTAAAGCTATCTCTAAATCCTTCATATGTTCTTTATGATTTTTATTATGTACTAAAATATCGTCTATATATACACAAACAAATGGAAGATAATTAAAAATGCTATCTATCTTTCTTTGAAAAATAGAGGGTGCATCTTTTTAACCCAAAATGCATGACTAACCATTCAAAATGTCCTAGTGGAGTAGTAAAAGCTGTCCAATGAATAAAATCTTTTGCCATTTTGATTTGCTAAAAATCCATATTTGTAGTTAAATTTAGAAAATATCTCACTATTTTGTATTTTATTTATTAACGAGTCTCTATCCGGTATCTTATATCCATCATTTATAGCATTATCATTTAATCAGTAGCAAAATAGAATTTGAAATTAAAGAGAGCCTTCATACGTTTATGCAATAAAGTAATAAAAAACTACAAACAATAAATTGATAGGACAGTTGAGGCATAGTTCCATCATTTTTGGAGCACTCGAGCAGATGTCACCATCTGAGAGTCTATAATTGACCAGAATGCTAGTCAATCCGTGCATCAGGATCAATTACAGAAACAAGAACCATGGTTTCTATAAGAATCTGATCTCCAGGTCAGTCAACCGGCCTCAGACACACAGGTCTTACTGTTGTCCGATGACGGCGGTCACCATTTTTTTTTTTTTTTAAAAAAAATCTCATAGGATTCACATTATGCAATGGTAATTTGCAGATGGAAGCCTATCCGGTATCCAAAAGACAGGTGATCTCGTCAGAGTAATTTGTACAAAAACAAAAACATCCATACAAGTTTATGATTCTTTAATGCAGTTTCAAGCTTCAGCAAAATACAGTCATAACACGAAATTATTCATATTCTTAAAAGTATAGTAAAGAACCATGCAGATTACTGGAAAATAAGTCATTGTCAAAGGTATACTTCACAAGCAAACTACATATATACCAATGATTTTTCGTTCTCTTTTTACAGTAGCTTTATCTCATTCAGATTTTTTAACTAATTCAGGGGAAAAAATTCTTCTGTGGGGAACCTCAAAGTGGTACGCCAAAGACAACTATCAAATTTTCCACAAAACAACCAAAATGATAATTTTAACATACAACTCGAGAGCGTGGGAAAATCAACAGGCAGGTTCTTACCAGGCAGTATGAACTTAAACCCCTGAATATGATTGGTCTAGGCTACGATCTGCCAAGAACTGTTTTAACACCAGAGTAAGTGATGTTGCAGCAGGAAATTGTTCAGCAATGTCTTTAACCTAAATTTAGAACTCAGAGCACCAGAATGAGAGGTTTAAGCACAAATTACATTGAAAGTTGACTCCCAAGTTTCAGAGAAATTTTTAAGTAATGAGATCCAGGAAAGAGATTTAAAATATGAGTTTAAAATAAAAACTCTCCCATAAATGATTACCAGTCTGGTATGTGATGGAGACTTAAAACTGATGTCAAGACGAACTAATTTGACACTGCTCTTGTTATCTTTCACAAGGGTACTCCACTTTGGAGAAGTAGAGATCTCAGAACTAGCAGAATCAGCCTGAAAACGGTTGCCTTATTCACCAGTCCTCTGATCTGCTTCTTTCGGCATTGGAGCATGACATAGCATAGGAAACAAGATCATGTGGAACTTCCACCATAATAGGTTCCACCCCAGGTTAATGGTAAAATCTACCTGTGTTTAATGAAAACACAAGACAGGAACAGAAATTATGATATGTATCGATAGAAAATGAATTATAGAAAACATAACATGAATACAATCAGCACTTCGAGAGGACTATATTCTCCACAATATGGTTTTCACTCACTATTTTTGCCTCCCAATCCATCCCCCTTTCTTTATTTATAAGCTACTTGTAACTGCTTTTTTCCCATTTTTACTCTCTAAGAGACTAGTTTTCCACCCACTTGCAGGTTATTCATCTTCTAGGTCCTTCTAGAATGCATGAGGTATATTGGAGCCTATCAATACCCCCGGTTTCCAAATTCACCTTGTCCTCAAGGTGGGAGTCAAGAAAGTGCTTGTGGTGCCAATTGCCTGCTCTTCCATTGTCACAATTCTGGTAGGAAAGATTTCTATACCTTTTGAAGCCCACATATTTGGAAGTGTAGTTAGCATAGTGTATTTGGTCCACTTGGGTCTTAGACTGCCAAATTCACTTGATTTTTGTCTTCAATTAGTTTGGTCATCTTTATGATAGAGCCCAACCCACTGGTCCATAGTAGACAGACTTCAACCTAGGTGTCTGATTTTAGCCCATTAACAAATGTACTCCCCAACATGTCTTCTAACTTATTGTATTCAAATTGAGTGCAGATAGCCGCCAAATTTCCAACGAGATCTGCTATCTCGATGAGCCCTTTCTCCCTCTTTAGAAGAAGCTCAGCACCTATCAGCCTTTCAAACGGCGACATCACCTTCGCCATGATAGTAGATCGTAGTGCGGTGGTGACATAGGTTGAGTCGTGGGTTCTCGTTCTGTGAATGGAGATACGCTGTTGGATGGATTCTAATAAGGGAAAATACATGGAATGTAGCTAATAGGTGGGCTGCTAGAGTTAGTTTTGATTCTGCATGGACCAAAACTTAACTGGGCCTGTTTTAAATATTCATTTTGGTCTTCTACCTGCTGGCCCACTTCCCAATAATTTTCATTCGTTCGTCTTCTCTAGATTCAACTCCACCCCTGATCTCCTCCTTCGGCAATGGTGATGGTAAGATTTCAGAAATAGCCGACTCAGGTGAGTTCTCTGCCATCCCTTTTTCTTTCCTCTCTCTTTCCTGCCCATCCATTTTTCTCATCATCAAATCGAGCCTATCCATCATTCTAGACATTGCTCTCTAAAATTCAATGTTCATTGCACCTAGTTCGAATTGTAGGCAGTCAGTTCTCCCTTCCAAGGACTCCACTGAACAAAGAGCATTCCGCTAATTGAAGAAAAAACCACTCACCTCGTGTGGAAGGGAAAATGCATTACACCTCTAAACAGGGTCAAAGGGTAATGCAAATCAAGGGCTGATGATGTACAGAATTTATCGTTCACATTTGCTTCCATTTCTCTTTTTTTACTCTGTAATCAATAAAAAAGTACTTGTTTCATGTAAGTCCTGAGGAAGTCAAGAGGATTTCAAGCCCCCAACCATTTCCCCAACATTTTATTAATGATTTTTCGGTTTTCTTAATTCATTCTTTCCTATCAAGTGATCTTATCACCATTTGAGATTGTCCAGTTGCGTACTATCATAATGATGGGAAATAAAGGTAATGCTGAATTGCCGAAGTCTAATAAATTCAGGTGTTGTGCAAACTGGACAAATTTATATGACAACAAACACAAATTAAAAAGGATTTGCACAAAAAAGAACTGCTGACATGGCCACAGGTGATTGAAAAATATTTAATTTCCTAGAACCTTTGAGAAGTAAAATTAGATCAAACAAAATGAAATTCATGTAACCAACCACAAGTTCATTGGGAGAAGGCTTATCTTCTTATTTTTGTTGTTGTGGAAAAGGCAATATTGATTATCGTTTCTCATGGAAAGACTATAACGACACATCCTATCTTTTAGGGATACAATATCCGTTCTATCGGACGCAATAAACATGAGCATAGGATTGAAGGATTCTCTCCTCCTCTGACTACAGTTTCTTGCTAGGCAGAGCTAAACTTTCTGAACAGACCTATATCTGCTTTAAAAAAATCTAATCAACACAATTTTACTCAAAGATAAGTTGGCACATAGTGTAACTAGATAACCAAGTCCTTGAAACAAAGACCAAATAACAGTGCATAATCAATTGTCAAGCAGTCCTCTACCAGCATAAGAAAATGAGTGATGTTCCTGGATTGTGCTCAATTGTATTGGAGTTGGAAAGGTATTCAAAACATTGTTTGCAGCATGGACAACAGAAAAGCATAATACCTAGCATGACCAGATATAGGTGGACTCCCGTTGTTAACTACACAAGCACTCCTGTGATAAGAACACTAGTAGAACTAAGAAGAGTATCTTTCATGATGCAAAACTGTGTGCTGTATCCTCACAAGCCAAAATATACCCCAATGTTCACCTCTATTGCTTCAGTTTTATGACCTAATTTCTTCTTGATGATACCGACAATGTGTGCAAATTCAACTTAAATGGACCAAAATTATGAAATTATCTGCACTAAATTCAGCAAACCGGCAATTGATTTCTCAAAATCTAGACCATTTGAGTAAGCAAGAAAGAATTTAATTCTCCTATTTATGGGTTATGTAAAGACACGAGCAGAAAGAATATCTATCTCGCCATGATTGCTTTCTTTGACAAGAAAAAGTAGCATTTTCTCATTATTATAATACGAGATCACTTTTATGTAATACTGCGTACCTGAAAGCAAGTTTCTTTGATGCCATTACGTCCCTCCAAGATTCCTGCTTCTTTAATAGGGTCCTGAAAATTGAATATGAATGAAATATCTATCTTTAATATTTCTTCCTAAAATTGTCAAAAAACAAATAATCCAAATCAACTTATTCTTACCAAATTTCTCATGGGAGGAAGACAAACCACAAGGTCCATGTCACTTGATGGAAGGGACAAACCATTCGCATTTGAACCAAAAACATTTGTCCTAGACCAAGGCCACGAGACTTGGAAAGAACGAGAAACACACTTAACAACCCAATTAATGCAAGGCTTTCTGATCAAATTCTCAGCAGCAATCCAACATATTGTAGCAGATTGAGCAGATTGAAAACCATCATCAATTTTGTAACAAATGAAATAAATATACTTTTACCATGAGATATACAAGTGAAGAATGTAAATACATGTTCTTGATCACGAGCTAGCTGGGAAATTGCAATAAGCCGATCCCGTAGCAATGCTCCTGCTAAAGGATGTGTCAACTGACAAGCTGAAACGCTTTTCTTTCTACAAGAAAGCCAAACAACTTCACTACCATTCATGGGTAAGCAAGTTTCTTCGAAATTAAAACCATCATGGAACCAGCCTTTGACACCCCCAATGCCTTGGCTACCAGACCGAACAGTACGAAAACCATTGAGTTTTCTGGAATCACCAAAAGGGGAGGGAGGAGGATGAGGGGCACGTGGAACACATAGAACTACAGGAGAAGGTGGCCTCTTAATTCGAGGTTGTTCCCGCCTGTTTGGTGGAACAGAAGGGCTTTTTCTATCATAACTTTGTCTTGACATATTTGGGATGATTATTGGTCTCAAAATGGGATATGGAAGTGAATCTCCAGTCTTCGCTTCTCCATCACCAGACGTATTGGGTATAGATCCAGAGACAATCTCCTTGTTGTCCACATCATTAATCGCTGGTGAAGAGTGCAGAACTGTGCCGCTGATATCACTCCCAGGAATAACATAGCCAAGAGCTCCAGGTCCCAGAGGATCAAAGGGAGAGCATAAGGAAGCAGCAGAAGGTGAAGTCAGTCCATTTGTGCTATAAGAGGAGGAGAAGGCAACCATATTATCAACAGCCTATTCATATCTGCTTCTCTCCAAGCCCAAGAGCTATCATCTGAACAAAGAGAAGGACAAGAGAAACTAGTCCTTGGACGATCAGAAGGATTCCAGTACATCATGCCGCTGCCAAGTACTGATTACAATCCAGCCCAGAAACTGCATGTACTTCTAACTCTTCTTCTGACATCCATTGGTTGTCCTGCTCATCCACTGGTCCCCAAGAATTTGCAACCTATGACATGTCCATGAATTCACCAAAAAGGATTTCATCCTCTGATGCAAGTGTACCATGCTGCATGCGTTGAGCAGTGACACATTGCAGAAGAGACGACTGTCATCTTCAGACAAAATCAGAATCATAATTGCAAGTAACTGATGGTGATACTCTATTAACACCATGCAACACAGGAGGCCAATCTAAACTCATTGGCAGATGTCGACATACAACTCCACCACACCTAGTTTCAACAGAAGAATTTCCTATTTGTACATTTTTTTACAAAAGATTGGTAAAAATGATTTTGCCAACTGTGACCAACATCAAGATGCAATCTATCTGTGGCAGTAGGTAGATGAGTTGTGGAAGAAGGATGAATGGTAGCTAAATTGTGCCATTCATAAGAGATGTATGCTGACGAACTTGTGGCTCCAAAATTACCCATCTTTCCTTGCTCCTGAATACGAAATGTTTTTTCTTCTGCCTTACTACCTTGTATTTGTTTCCCTAGAAAACCCGTCTTTTGATAAGTTCCATTTGAATGTGCATAATTTCCACTGTCAATAACTCCACCACACAGATCATTATTATCTTCAACCACAGGCCTAACAGAAGTTGCATCAAAATCCACAATATCAGTCAGAAGATCAACCCTGGCAGTTTCAGCACCATTTTGGATCACTCTGAGTTTTGATGGTGCTTCAAACCAAGGCTATCACTAATTTCAGCAGAAGAATCATGTGTCTTCCCACATTGAGCCACTATATTTTCACAACAATGATCAGGATTTGCTTCAGGGCTGTCAATCCCGGTTGCAACATTGTTTGCAAAGTTCTTGATGGTTGAATTTCCAGGGGTCCAGTCAGACGTGGAGGGCCCATCTTGAGAAGTAACAAAATGGTGGAAACTACAATTCTTTTAGAATTACAACTAGAAACTTCCCAGCTATGGGAACTCGAGCTTTTGAGCTTTTTCCTTTCTTTCCTACTTTTCTTGGGTGCACTTCGTACATTTCCATTATTTAATCCTTTATCAGGTACCTGGTCACAGTCAATCAGTTACAAACCTTTCTAGCATTAATAGAGTTAATGTTTTTGACATGAAAAAAGATAATCACAACCATGGCATCTGCAGATGCAAGATTCCCCCTAGCAAGAACTTCCTCCAGAACTTTACCATCAAACTTGTAGGGCTGTCTAATATCTCCATTGCCACTATACACCTGCCAATATATCCACTACAATGTAGTACCATTGGAGACATTTGTGACTTTTAAGATAGGAAGAGTCTAATTATGTACAGGAATTCAAGAAAAAGATACTGTGGATGTGAAGATGTACCTGAGTAGGTTCAACAAGGTTTTGGCTATCTATACAAGGTCTTGGAATAGGATATGAATTTTTATTGCGCTTTTTACCCCTTTTATTGTTCTTATTATCATGGGAAACAGCTTTCTCCATAGATTTATTAGGAGAACTCCAATTTCCCTCCTCGAGTAGCTCAATTTTTGTGCAATCAAGAGAAATAGCCATGAGCAAATATAATGTCAGAAATGCTATTTGCAGAGTCCAATGATGTGAAAAATGATTTCTCTTGATCATAGGCACCATGCTGAGATGCCAAAAACATAGTAGAAATAACCTGAAGAATGTACAAACTATTGAACATGCCATTCAGTGGGGAAGAATTTCCGGAAACTGGTGCAGGATTAACATTCCATTTAATTTTAGAACTTGTTCCTTTGAGTTTAGAAATGTCCCTTCCACACGTAAAAGTAGAATTGCATCTCAACAGCTGCTCGCCACAATAATCATAGGGGCCACATTTTGTCTACCAAGATGAAATCTTTACCCTTCAACATTGCTGGTGTCTGTGATCAAAATCGTAAAACCCTACTTCAACAAGAAAGAGACAGCACTAAATAAACACAAAAAGTAATTATAAGTAAATTTGTAAGTAACTCCACAGAAAATGCATTCCAAATTGGTGCCTAACTAACAAAAACAAAACCAATTCACTTTGCAAGACTCCTCGTCATCCACTCAAATGAGTTTGCAGTCAGTTCGCCACACTAAACATGCTTTAAAATGTCATAATGAACATCAAATTTACCTCATTTTTATGTCAAAATGAATCTCGCACCATATTTTTTAATGGATAGCACTAAAGAAATTATTAGTAAATACACACAAAAAAGAACGCAAAAACAAATCAGTAATAAAAACCAAATAAAAGTATCAGTGTCTTTGTGGCTTTTCCCAAGAAAGCTTGAAACACCTTCTTGACAGCATCATCCAATTTCTCCCACCAATCCACGCAACCTTTCTTCCTCCAGAACACATTTGCAGCCATGCCAGATGCACTCAACCTATCCTTTAACTTGGCCCCCCTTTTCTTTCCACTATTACAGTTCAACCATGCCAACTTCAAATTCACCTCCATTCTGTTGACGATAAACTCCTCCAAACTATAGTATCCTTTTGCTTTCAACCAACTCAGTCCCACCCACTCTCCCGCCATCTCCCTCTCTTCCCGTCCCCATAAAAATTACCCACCCGAAACTTCATCCATTATTTTTGTTGTATCAAAAGTGCAATAACAGCTGGACCTACCAGGTTAAGTAACAGACATGCCACATTAGAATATTACTTCTGAAAATAAGAAGTCCACGTACGACATAAATAATTATACATAGACTTGGGGGACTATTATTATGCCTCAAAACCAAGGCTCAAGAAGCCCTGAAGTGGAAGCACTGTGTAAGTGACCGAGGCATTGAAGTGGAAGCACTGTGTAAGTAACCGAGGCCCTGAAGCGAAAACATTGTATAGTGTCGAGGCCTTGAAGCAGAAGCACTATTTAAGTGGCCGAGGACCTGAAGCGGAAGCACTGTACAATGGTCAAAGTTGAAGCCCTATGTATGTACTCGAGACCCGTATTATCGAAGCAGAAGCCTCCTAATCATAATGGAGCATCTTCCATGTTAACTTCTTCCAAGAGATCTTTTACATAAAGATCTTATCTGAATGATTGATGTGACTTTTTGTAATGAGTATAAATGTCTTGTCTACTACTGTGTGTAAGAACATTAAATGCGCCACAAGCTAAGAGGTCAGAATGATGCCCAGGATTAGATGCTTTGGTTGAGGAGATGAGGCCCCGCGGCTTCATCCAATGGACATCATCTTATGTGTAATATTATAAATACCTCCTTCTTGTATCAAATGGGAAAGAATGCAATTTTACATGCAAAACTCAATACTAAAGTAAATGCAAAACATTTTCATCCCATTTTATTCTCTAACAAATACAACTAAGTCTACATAATGTTCATCAACCACGATTGATAATTATTGTTAAATCGTTCTACAACTGTATAGCTGAATTTCGAACGTTGTCGTCTCGCGTTTGAGCTACTCCCACGCCCTTTCTCACACAATTCCAGACAACTGTTGTGTCTTAGCGTGTAAGACTTGGCTTACATGCGCGTGGGTGGGTCGGATATATGTTGTCTACGTGGCCTTAACCGAAAACGAGGTCAACAATTTTCACAAACCTATTCACATCCTCCACAAATTCTTCATTTACACACATCGCATTTAGACAAATTCCCCATAATTCGTTTCCCTCTTCATTCATTTCCCCTTCCTTCGAGCTGAACAACTGAATAGGATCATAAATTACACGTTCTGATGCAATCGACTGCGCAATTATCAACCGAAGCCCCTCCAACTTGCGATGACATAAGGTGGGAAGGGTAGAATTATCTTTTTCACAGGCGGTAGGGAGGTCGGGGAGAATAATAAACTAACCTGGGCCGTTAAACCGGAGCTTCTCAAGCATTTCCAGAAGGATCTTGATGAAGATAGAGTCAACCGTAGTGAGGTAGGCCATTTGAGCACTATTTGAGGATGGCGGATCGGTGGTTCGGGCTAGGAGTCGATTTCGGGTTTGGATCAGGGATTTTGGAGCGGTAAAGAGAGACCTGAGCTGTGAGGAGTCGACGAGTTGCTGTTTCGAATTCATTAGAAATTTGAAAGAATCTTTGAAAGAATGGAACTTGAAGAAGTCATGCCATGAAGAAGAATGGAAATATTGGACGCGAAAGGAAAGGAAACCGAAAAACGAGGAAGTAGGAGGGGACATAAATTGGATAATTCGCACGTGTAAAGTCTACCTTTCACCAAAAAAATGTGGTTACCTTTCATTTTAAGCGTATTTACATTTATTTCCACATTTCATTGTACGAAAGATTCTTTTTCATCCATATTCTAAATCAAAGATTATGAAATAACAGATATACACTTTTATTTAAATAAAACAAAAAAGAATTAATTAATTAGGGTTGCATAAAATTCTCGAACCGAATCAAGCAATTTTTCTTAAATTAAATATCCGAACGAATAAATGAATCGAGAACCGACGAGTTTGGTGTTATTCTCGATTCTAGATCAAGAACCGAATCTCACTAATTATTTAATTAATTTATTTTAAATAAGTCAAATTATTTTATTCTTTCTAAATAAATTTGTTAACTAGTTAATTTAGTTCAAACAAAAAAATATGATTTTTCTATATCTAATTTTTAGTTTAAAGGCAACTTAATCAAATTGATCTAAATTTTATCCAAATCTGTTATTCTACCGTAGTACCATTTTTTTCATTCTAAAGAAATCGAATTAATACTAGACAACGCCTCTCTCTTTCTGTGATTTTAACAATCAAATTTATGAACTCAGCAGAGCGACGCAAAAGATACATAAGATTGACTACGTTATAAGAGATAAGATTGAACATATCATTAGTTGAATTAATGTAACTTTGTAAATATTAAGAAAAAAAAATTATAAAGAGGAACCGAACCGAGTTGAATCGAATGGAACCAAATCAGAACAGTTCCATAATTAAATTTGGATCTGACGGCTCCACTTACTAAATATCCAAAAATTTTGGATTCAGTTCCGTTCTCGTTAGAACCGAACTGAATCGGACCATGTCCAACCCTAGAATTAATTGTAACTTCTTTTTTATTTAAATAATATGGTATATTCATCATTTCACAGCTTTTATTGAAAAAATGGATAGAAACGATAAATTGTGCAATTAAAGGTTTAATTAAGGATGAGAATATCAAAAAATAAAAGATATGAACTTTTTTAACAATAATAATAAGAGGTAGGGATATTTTATGCTAATTAGTCTTTTAATAATTTACCGCGATAATTGCAGCAAAATCTCAAAACCATTGAAACGCTGGTAGACTTTCCTCTAACCTTTCAATTGGTTGCAACCATCACCCCTAATATTTTCAACCGTTGTATGTGAGGTTCTTTTGGAGGGTTTTCATCGACAATTCCATTAGTTGTCGAACAAAATTAAGATTGACCATTTTCTATCAAAATGTGTAGTAAAATCATCTATTTATATTATAAAACAAAAAAGGAACCTTCTTCCTCAACCAACCTTCTTCCCTAATCAAATGCTCCTACCCACCGCCACCCACCCACAACCCATAACTATCGGCCACTCACTGCCAACTTACCCAAACGAAGGTCCACCAAGGCACCACAACCTATGCCACCTTAAACTGTCATTATATAGTAGGTCTTAATTTGAAGATTTGAAAGCCAGTAGTCAACGGTAGGTTTTGAGAATAGGTTTTTGAAGATTTGGAATGCCATTTTTGGATAGAACAAAAGCTAGTTTAAGGGTGGAGATAAACCATTCTCAGAAACGAACTTTCAAATTTTTTTGATTTTTGATTTTGGTTTTTGCTATGGTGGCGATTGGCGATTTTAAAGTAGAGGTTGGTGTTCCGCGCGGGTTAGCCGCTAACAATTAAAATGGGATCAGACGATTGTGTAAGGGACAAACCTCTTGAGACAAAGTCCCAAAAATGGGTGTTTTTATTGGCGATGACTTTGCAATTGGAAAATAAAAATAGAATGCCTCTAAGGGGTGCAAGTACATGAGTTACCGTAAAAGAAGTGTTCAAATCTAAACTAAGAAATTTAAAATTACATATTCTCTGTTTGAGAGTGTTTGATTCGGGGTCTTTTGTTCTATGTCTTTTCTTCCTTTTATACTCCCTGGATGATCTCTTCGTGATCAACTGCTTAAAAACTGCTTGATCGCTCTATAACTGTCACTTTCCTTGTAGTGGCCAACTTGTCATGAAACTGTTTTCTCTAACTGCTGCCATTACTTTTGTCGTTCAACCGTCTTCAATTGAATTCTTTGAATCGTGGAACGTGATAGGACTACCCAATAACTGCTTTATTAACTGCACTTTTGGGTAACCATAACATCTTATGTTTGCTAAGATGCTGGACTCGAATGTTTGGACGAGAGCAGGGTCACAGCTCTGGACGACTGCATGACAATTCATTCGCTCAAATCTTGGGCAACTTGCAACCTTGGGTGATGGTATTACCGCATTTATGGGCTTTCCTAGTTGGGCATTTATCCTGCATTGCCTGATTGGGTCGTTCTTTTGGGCTATTTGATTTTGGGGATCTTCCAATTGAATTTCATTCCTTGGGCTATTCGATTTGGGCTGAACTTTTTGTGTGTCAACAGTTGGCTTTGCCGACGGTTTGATGGTGGAAATTATTATCTCCGATTTTGGGTTTGGGGTTGGGGTGGGCAAGGAAGACGATACTTTTTTCTTTTATTTTCTATTCTTTCATTTCTTTTCCTTTTTTAATTCAATCAATTTATTTGTTATAAATAGAAACTTACTATTTTACCTTTTTATAAAAATAGATGTGGTCAACTAAAAAAATTGTAGATGAAAACTGTCTAAAATGGCCTCACATGCAATGGTTGAAAATGTTAGTGATAACAGCTGCAACAATTGTAAGGTTAGGAAAAAATCTGCTTATATTTTCAAATGTTTGAAGTTTTTACTGCAATAATCCTTAATTTATTTGTGATTCATTTGCATTTAAAAAAAAAGATTATTGTTGCAATTAGTTATGTCTTTTTTTTTTTTATTTAAACAAAATCAGTACATTCGTCATTTCATAGTTTTCAATTCAGAAAATGGATAAAAATGACCTTTAGACCAATGAAATGTGGAAATAAAGGTGAAAATAAGGACTTTTCCCACAATAATAGTGAAAGGTAAGAATGTTATGTGTTAATTACCAATTTTAATTATATATATTAACGTGAAGGGTCCTCAAACTATTAAATATAGATTAAATAAGTCCTCAATCTATTGAAGACATGGCAAATAGGTTACCAGTCTAATATTTTTGCGACCATATCACAACCTTTTATTCTTGTAGCATTTTGATCCCAATGGACAATTTTAGCATTTTCTTTAATAAAGCTCAATTTTTTTGTTATGAAGTTTATGTTTTTAATTTTTACGCTAAATGTAAACCATTAAACTGGGACATGTGGAGGTTCAATATTGACTAGTGTAACAGCTTGTTAAATGTTTACCAATTTTCTTTCTCGCAATTTACGTTAAACTATATTATTGTTATTATTATGCTCCTTTCTTAAACCAATTGTTACCCACAGATGAAAATATTACACGTGTACATATTTCTAATGGATAATTGCAGCAGAGGTATTAGCATACTTTTCTCAAATTTTTAATTTTTTGCAATCGTCACTTCAAATTTTTCGAAGCATTGTGACAGAGGCCCTTTTGGATGATTTTTATCCAAATGCCTGTTAGTCAACTAAGCAATTTGACTTTGACCATATTTTTAATATTTTTGAAAGGGTAAAATAGTAACTTTCCGTTCACTACATTAAAATAAATTAAAAAAAAAAAGCTAAAAAGAAAAATAGACAAAAATATATAAACTGTATATCTTCATCTTCCCCCAGCCCATTGCCACCGACCACCATCCATCGTCACTTACCGCCACTGTAAAACCTATCCATCTAGCTATGTTTATTTAGTGTATTTGCTTTTCAATTACAACCCCTTTAGCTTTTGGGGTATTTAAACAAAAAGCAAAAGTGGATCACTGTGCTTGACATTACAAATCCCTTGGTTTGTTATAAAAATTACTATTGGAGATAAGGAACTTTAAAGCACGATTCAAGTATGAAAAGAACTCCATGTCCAGCATATGCACCTATGTTAAGCTTGGCGCGTTAAGGAAAAATATCTGATCCAATTCAAGAACCTAAATGAATGGGTTTATAAGAAAAAATACCTCATCGATAAGTAATACACCAGGAACAAGCTCTGCCACACCTTCATCTATGTAATGGGAGAGTGATTTTTGGGTTCTTTACGTGGGGATTAGTTTATTTACTTTTCAAATTGGAGATATTTTGTTGGGTTTTGAATGAGGAGAAAGAGTATGTTGTACTATGAGAAATGACGTTTTGTGTTTTAAGATATAAGGTATGTTTTTTTGAGAGAGATCTCATCATTTGGGCCCCTAGCGACGAGTTTGTAACTGAGAAAGGGAGGGAAAAGAGAAAGGAGAGAGATTCAACCGTGCCTACGTCAAGAAGAAAGAAAGTAGTTGCTTCTGAAAGTAAGGTGGATGGCGACAACGCTAGTGGACAGTGGGTGACAGTGGTCGAGGCCCGGTGGCGATGAGCTAGGGAAAGACGAAGATGTATAGTTTTTATTATTATTATTATTTTTTTTGCTTTTTCAAATTTAATTTTTAACTTATTTTAATGTAGTAAATGGAAAGTTACTATTTTACCTTTTCAAAAATATTAAAAATATGGTTAAAGTCGAATTTTGTAGTCAACTAAACAGACATTTAGATAAAAATCATCCAAAAGGGCCTTTGCCACGAAGTTCCGAAAGGTTTGGGGTGACGGTTGTAACAAATTGAAAATTTGAGGAATGTATGCTAATGTTTTAAAGGTTTGAGGCCTCTGTTGCAATTATCTGTAATTTTAATTAGTTTCTCAACTCAATTATCACTTCCACTAAAAAATAAAAAAATTGAAAGAAGAACGTGATTATATTTACACTACATGTTATAGATCTATATTTATTTATTGTCACGTGCATACTTATCAGAGCTGACCCGATCGTCGATCTGCACAAACCATCGTATCATTGGATTAGTGATTCAATAGATGGGTCACTGATCGACCATAACTCTAATTATTATTATTTTTAAACAAAAAGACAATATATTTCGCTCACATTATTTGTAAAAGTTCTACAAGGGCCATGGTGATCAAGGTCCTAATCTTTCTACAAGATATACAAGTTTGAATATTTTCTTGTGTAAATTTGATACAAAATTTTGTTTCGGAACAATCTGGTAAAAAACAATCGGTTCATATTAAATCGATTTCAAATTTCTATAAACCAGCTGGTTCAAACAACTATGTAACAGTATGAACGGTTCTTGATTGATTCCTTTGCGATGGATAAATTAATACCAGTAGGATTGGACCACTTTCTTGTTTGCCGATCAGTATGACATGATTCTTATAATGATGGTCACATGGATATTTTTAACTAGTATATTCTAATAGCCTTAACATTTCATTAACTAGTAAATCTTGTCCTTATTCACATTTTCTTTTTCCAAAATTACGCTTTAAAATGTTGGATAAATATTTAATCTTAATTTTTTTTTCTATTTATACAAAATATAAACAAGTCTTTTTACTCTATTTTAAAGAATTTTTCTTTGATAAAAATTGTAATACAGGACACCTTAATTTTAGAATAAGAATGCAATCGTAGAATTTGGAGACAGAAGTGTGCTAATGAGTACGTTAAGAATATTTTATTCAATTAAAAAGTGGCTTAAATATATTTAGCCTATTAAAAGAGTATGGTACAATTGGGACCATAGTTGTTAAAGGGAAACATTGAATTCATGGCCTACAATTACAAAGTATGATAATCTGAAGTTGATAAAGGGCTATGGAGGGCAAAAGCAACATAGGTATGGCAATTGGAGGGAAAAAAAATTGGTTCCCCACAGAATAGATGGAGCCAAGGGGGCGCGATTTTGGGGCAAAGACACCTTGTCCCATCCTTTTTGAAGTGTTGATTGGGATGGGGACTAGGTGGGAAAAACCATGCAGCGCCGCGTAACTTGCCTCATCAATGAGTAGCCTTATTGTCATCGCTTGGGCAACACTATCAAGTATATGCAACGGAACGTGGCTGGGAGCCAAAATAAAAGGGTAATGGTACATAATTAGACGCATTACAACTATTAGCAGCTTCATGCAAGCATTTTATGGAAGGCTACAATTTTAATGGAAATGTCCAAAAAATACAAAATGTTATATAAACTTTGATTGCTATAGATAAAAATTATTTTTTTAAAGTAAATTTTGATAAAAATTGATGAAATATGTGATTGAATAATTGTAGATCTCATGAAACTTGTGATTAAAATTAATTGTTGACTTTAATTTAAATATTTTTCAAGATTATAATCTACACCAAATAGGAGCATAATAATGAACAAATATTTGTATATATAAATATCTTAGATATCTTGATGAATTACTTATAAAAGCGTCTAATCAATATCCTCCAACCATTTGGAGGAGGTGGTGGTAGTAATAAATATAAATAACATGATTCAATAATTGCATAAATATAATAATATTATAATAATCAAAACATTATAATTCAATAATAAGAAGAGAAGAGTTAGAAATGTAAGCCACAAGTATTTCATGTCAAGAACGTTGTTCTATAGTCGTGTTGTCTCCCTTTCGTACGAGTTCTTTCGGCATTACATGACTTCAAAACCTATGTGGCTCACGGTCATTCTCCTTTTATAAGCACAACCATAAGGGGATAAAGAACGAATCTCTCATCGAGTTGTCAAAATAGTATGAATATAGTATAAAATTGTAGAAAGGATAATACTCCAAGTTGTTGTATCAAACTAACAAAATTGACCTCCTTTTATAGTGTCAAATTTAAGCCCCACAATAATGAAAATTATTCTAGTTAAAATATAAGTTACATTATGAAATTATGAGTTTTAATTTTGAAAATTTGAATTAATTTATGTTACAACAAACCCCCACATATTTTAAACTTTCAATATATATATATATATATATATATATAGTATCTTTTGGGCTTAAACCTCATCTAGCGATAACAATTTTCATTTGAAGAAGTCATAATAGACCAAGTTTTGAATTAGATCTCTTTAACCAAACTTCAATTGTTTCACACATAATATCGATTTAGGTTATAGTTCATAACGAATAGCGCTCTATTCTAGATTCTAGTAAGAGCCTCTAGGGATTGCCCAATCCCATAGCTAGGCCATCATGACAGCTCTTACATAGGTGAGTCCTTCAATGGTACGTGTGACCTACACCTCGTGAAAATTCTCGCCTTGGTACTCATTCGGGCTTACACCCTTAGAAATATCACATTTATTATTAGAACTATACCACAGGGATGAGTACAAATAAAATAGTTCTATTACAAATCACGTAGTGCGGGTTGTATCTACCATGTTAAACTTCTTTCATGGGATCTTCAATCATAAATGTTGGGCTACTCCCTGAGGCAACTCCCTTATGGGCTTAAGGCCATACCCCCTGATGATTTATTATGTCCATTAGGGACTATAATATTTCATGTCCCTCTTTGACAATAATTTGATGCCATCAATTTGCAAAGCTTTTATTCTTCACCTGCATATTGTTGACATATAGTTGACTTCATCATCAATGTTTTGATCATAACAAACAAGATTAATGTTGTTTCCAACATTTTTTTTGAGTGATGATAGTTCAATATTAAAATCAATCAAGCATTATATAGTGGATTTGAAATAAATATCAAAGTAGAAGTTAAACATTCAAGTCAAACCGTTCGAGACGAGAGCTAAAAAGATAAATGTCAAAAATAAATCAAGATGCCAAGAAAGATCAAGAGCATGAAAGATGGTATCAAAGATCAAGATAAGAAGTTCAAGAGCCAAATATGAAAGAAATTTTTAAGCAAGATGAAAGACTAGACTTTCTAGATCATATATAAAGGTATAACACTCTGATCTTTAGTAACAAATGACAGTAGCTTTAAAATCATTTTGTGCACGAAAAATTATTTTCATTATCATTTGCATAAAATGTTTTAATCAAAAGTAAAATTGAAATTTCAAAGTCATACTTGAACTTGGATTACAATTCTCAAAAAAGAGAGTCAAAGATCAATCGGACTTCCGCCGGTTCGTCAATGGTCAAATTTTTTAATCGTTGCAAAATGACTAGTTCTATCGTCCGATTGGGTTAAACTTTTTCAATTTGATTGCTATAAACATCACTTCACTTTTATTTGTAACAACCACCATGAAGAGAGCTTCATTATGAAATATATTTGTGAAAAATCTTCTTTGAGCTTATATTTTTATTTCCATTTCATTTATTATTTCATAGGAAAAACTTTGATTGCTGAATCAATTTCTTTAATAAAAGTTTTTCATCTTTCGTTGTTCGTAACTTATTTATATCAATTTTAAAAGAGATATATTTTTGAAGAAGGTATTTGCACTTATATTGTATATCATTTCTACTTCTTCATATTAAAACTTTGATTGATTGAATCAAATTTGTAAAATCATCATATTCATCAAAGTTTCGTATTTCTCTTAGTACATAACTTATTACAATCATTCATTTAAAGAGAGATGTTTGTTGAGAAGATTTTTTGAACTTATATTGCATTTATTTCTTCATAATTTTCTCATTGAAACACTTTAGTTGATTGAATCTAACTTCTAATTATCATATTTATCAAAGTTTTTCATTTAACACTTAAACTATCATTTATTACTATTCATTAACGTATTAGTCTCTTTTAGTACTTAATTTGTTTTGTATTATTTATTAAGAGAGAATTTTACTGTAAAATCACTTTGGTAAAGTATGGGTCATATTGAGGTTTCGTAAAGTTCAATGGTGTGGGTCGTATTGAGGTCCTGTAAAGCTCAACATTGTATAAGGATCAGTGCTCATTGTTTGTAAATTATCAAAAGCGTCGTAAAGGGTTGGATTATACCATAAGTTAATCAACATAGTGAAAAAACATTGCTCGTGTCGGAGAACTTGGTAATGGAGGACGTAGATCATTGTATTAGATCGAACCTCCACAATTATATCGTCTGCATCATCTATCTCTTTTATTTACCGCTTTTATACTGTGTTCATTACTTGTTTTTATTTGATTTTTGTTTGTTTGTATTTGTGTATATTTGTCTAATTGTTTCAGTTGCTATCACATTGGCTTAAATTTAGAATTAATTTTTGAAAAAATCTTAAAAACCAATTCATCCTCTCTTAATTAGCTAATCTTGGACTTTCACATATCTACAAAATCTTCTTAAATTTTCAAAATGTCAATATCTCATATTTAATTATAATAAGATAATTCATGGAATTTTTTATATTGGCTTTTAGTACCACATTTGGAAAGATACATCCATTGAGCCTTGCATTTAACCTGTAATCTTCAAATTTGACCTGAACACTTTACTCAAAACATCGATTTTACCACAAAATATATATATATAAATGTGTATCTATCTAAAATTTTAAATAGCCCCACGTTCCAAGGATATAATAATTCATTACCAAAT